CTTTCAACATGACAATGATCCCAAACATACCGCCCGGGCAACGAAGCAGTGGCTTCGTAAGAAGCATTTCAAGGTCCTGGAGTGGCCTAGCCAGTCTCCAGATCTCAACCCCATAGAAAACCTTTGGAGGGAGATGAAAGTCCGTGTTGCCCAGCGACAGCCCCAAAACATCACTGCTCTAGAGGAGATCTGCATGGAGGAATGGGCCAACATACCAGCAACAGTGTGTGCCAACCTTGTGAAAACATACAGGACACGTTTGACCTCTGTCATTGCCAACAAAGGATATATAACAAAGTATTGAGATGACCTTTTGATATTGACCAAATACTTATTTTCCACCATAATTTGCAAATAAATTTGTTCCAAATCAGCCAATGTGATTTGTCTGGATTTGTTTTCTCATTTTGTCTGTCATAGTTGAGGTCTACCTATGATGCCAATTACAGGCCTCTCTAATCTTTTTAAGTGGGAGAACTTATACAATTGGTGGCTGACTAAATACTTTTTTGCCCCACTGTATATGCAAAAACATTTTTTTAAAAGTTAAGAAAGGGGTTTAAACTTACCTGAGCGCACTCCCGTCCAAAGATCAGAAGATTCACCAGAAGGACAGATGACTGGTGTTTCTATCTTAAATTGAGGCAATGTTGGCCATTAGGGAGGATCTCTTCTAGCTCACGAGGCACCTTGCATTAGGACTAGTGATGCATTAACTGAACAAAGTTCAGCTGGTTGGACATTCACCAAACACTTGAAAAAAAAACCACAAACCTGAACAAAGTTCCCGAACCCCACTGAAGTCCATGGGAGCTGAACCTTGCTATTGTTTCTTGCTTTATCAAGGTCATTTTGCAATTGTTTGTTAAAAATGGCATGGGCAGCTGGGCACTGCCGCAAGGGACATGGACCAATGCAAAAAAATATTTTAACAATTACCACTGGGTTTTTTCAATATTAAAACTACACAATTTCTTTAAATAACATACTTGGGGAACATCTTAAACCTTGGTGTGAAGTGGCACACCTTCTGCAAAATTGACATTTAGAAAGAAAATACTATTGATATTTGCAGCCTGGCTTTGTCACCCCACTAACACTAAACACTTATTTTTGCCGATTTGTTCAAAACTTTGTGGTAAAGTATTAAAGGGTTTTTATTGCCGTGTCCATCTCCATTTGTCCTGGTACAGCGCTGTCTCCGCCCACACACCGCTCTGCCGGACTGTGATAGGCGGCTGAGCGGTGTGGGAGGAGAGATGCCGCAGCTCACAGCGCTCTCGTCCTGACTCCTGCAGCGCTCGGCGGCTGTCACTTTCTTTTCTCCCCACTGGAACAGCGCCCAGCGGGGAGAAAAGAAACCAGGGATGACCCGATGTATCGGCCGAGACATGGCTCTTTCGGCATTATGCCAAAAGTGCCATTTTCGGCCGATATGTTTCGGCGGCCGATATATCGGTGCATCCCTACTGGTAACCATTGTCACTGGAGGATGAGGTGATGGAAAATCATCAGAATAGAAATAGAGGGGGAATCTTCCAATGGGGACATCTGTTCTGGTGACAACGGTATAAATGTGGATTTCCTCTAAATTTGGAGAGATTTTCCCTCTTTTCCTGTTATGTCTCCCAAATAGGAAGTAAAGAGAAATCTCCAAAACAGGAGACAGACAGCAACAAAATTGACAGAAAATGTAACTCATCTGTCTGAAACCAAATAACACATTTTGGTGCCACATGTTTACTTCCTGCCCCCTTTTCTCAAGCCTAACCCCTTGGCGGTTTAAAAAAAAATAAAAACACAGCTCTGGCTGCAATATTCACTTTTTAACAGGAGCAGCTCTTTACCACACAATGTCCTCAGTCTTCTGAGTTGAATGACACTCAGTATCATTAAACCCTGAATACTGAAAGCATATTATGACTATGAGGGTAGTTCCACTATGGTACTTTAACCCCTTCACGACCAACGACGAACAGTGTACGTCGCTGGCATCGGAGCTGTTTAAACAGATTCTGTTTAAACTTGTAAAGCCGACTGTCGGCTTCACAGTAGAAGCGATTCTGGCGATTTAGCTGTAAAGGTGACACTGGGAGTCTTTTGGACCCCCAGCATCACCTTAAAGAGTACCTGTTACCACCATCTGCTATCACATGGGGAATTGTAAGCCCCCCTATGTGATAGCAATTAAAGTAAAGTTAAAAAAATGTAAAAAATAAGTTTTTAAAATTTACATTAAATAAAATAAATCTAAAAATAATTAAAAAAATGTAAAGTCCCCCACCCCCGCGAGTCTTCGCGTAAACACGTCGGGTGTGCCTAAGTATGAAAACGACGAACGCGCTACACATGTTGGGTATTGCCGCGCTTGCCGGAGTGAGAGCAATAATTCTAGGGCCAGTATTTTTGGGTATCTCTAAACTGATGACCTCGGGGGGCTTTTAAAGAGTCTATGGACTTTTGGGGGTACTGAATTTTTTTGCGGACGCACACAATTTTAACCTGGGCATGTTGGGTATCTATTTACTCATTGTAACCTCACATTTTATATTTTATTTTTAAAAATTGGTATTTAATTGCATTTTGGGGCATTTAAGTACATTTTTCACTACATTTTGGGGGTTTGATAAGGAGTTGCGCTAATATCGTGCAACATAAAAATTTGGTGTATTGATGCAGGGAGCATCTCTCTGCATTATTGAGGAATGAACACCTCCAGTAGAAGACCAAACAGGACCTTGTGCTTCACAAGACTGGTCTGAAGACATGTTGAAAAGGTAAGTATACACAAAAAAATGCTACTGGGGGGGTTCTTGAGGAGCAGAGTTGGGCCTCACCATGGACATCTAGTCAAAATATGTTCTTATTGTTGTCTCTGTCCCCATTTAGGAGATTTCATTTCACTTCCTGACCAAGAAACACAATATGAAGTTGCTAAAAGACTGGTTTAAGTGACAGGAAATCCCACAACTGTCAGCAGAGCGGATGTCCTCATTGGAAATAATACCCTACCTCCTGCTTCAGTGACAGCTATAACAATTTAGTTTTTGGATCTTATGTTTCCATGCAATCCCATACAAACAAAAAAAGTTGTCTGGGGTTCCACTTTAACAACCAGACAAGCTATTCAAAGATTTGTACACCTGACATTGAGAGCACTCTACCTTTCCAAGTAAATCGCCGCTGTATAACTTCGGTGAACTGAAGCCAGATGGAGGCCATATTATTTTATGTTATTCATATAAGTGCCATAAAAATAACAATATGCTCATTCAGTGTCTGAATATAATATTCATTGGCTTGGATTGTCTCCCCTTTCGAAGCTGACTCCCACTACATTAATGTGACAACTGCGATTCATGGGATACAAAGATGATTTTGGTTTGGCACTGAGCTAATGCCATTACCGTAAAAGTGGAAACTGAGAAGCCCCTATCGGAGAGATAATATTTTTTGACTGTGGAGGGCTTTTCTTTTTGGCCTTTTTTTCTGTTTTTTGGCTGAAACCATTCCTTTCTTTGTCGTTTCTTAATTTTGCAGATCTTCCATCTTAAAGTCATGTTTTCGGACGCAAGGCAGCCAGGGTCCGTCTCTGGGGTCTTCAAAAGAGGATTAGACAGTAGGTTATATTGCATCAGACATAAAGTTTAGCTGTTTCTCCTGCGGACTGTGGGAATGGTTGTGGACAATTTTGTTTCAGAGGGATTGTGGAGGAAGAGCAATTAAGTGATAAATCTCTACAAAGGCAGACACTGCTTTATGTGTGCTCTTGCTAGCCATTTATTCTAAATATGGCAGTATATTGCACAGATTAAGGATTATGTGGTATTTGATGGGTCAGTAACTTAACCCATAGACATTACATTACCTTCTAGACATTTTTCGAGTGCTCCTCCAGCCAACAACTGAAATCAATGAACGAAGCCCAAATGGGACCCAGGAACCATTACAACTCTCCATGTCAGAAAGTTCACTCAAGTTTTTGCTGTGTGTTCTTGGACAGACTAGAGACTCTTGTCTAGTGATTCTGAGACATACAACTTCCTTCTCTTTATCTGGGAACATACCGTTGGTGAAGCTGAGATAACAGATACTCCTCACTTAACACCCTACCTTTTTAATGACCGCTCAGACTTACAACCAGCTCTCCGACCAGTTGGCATTGTACACTGTACGAGAACTTGGGTCAAGCTCATCTCACATCATCCTTTCTCAGTCTATGTCTAAGTAAGGAGTGTCTCTACCTAACCTAAAATACACATAGAAGCAAGGATTGTTGTTCCTATGGTAGCCACGCTCCCCTGAGCAGGAGTCATTCTTTAAATTTAGCTTTGCTGAGCTGTAATCAGCCTAAGCTGAATTGATAGTTCAGCTTTCTACAGGTTTTCCTAAGCTCAGTAGTATTGTTTCCTTCTGCCTGCTCTTGGAGGAGGGGGTCTGTGAAATTAGAGCAAGAAGATATATTAATGCTAAATATGAATATTTATGTTTCCCTAGACAACAACTAGGAGATGTATTGCCAGTTAAGCAGGCTGGGGAGGATATAAATATTTGGGAGAACCTTCTGGAAGCTCTCTTTCCCCCAGGGCCTCCAGCCTGTGGAGAGTGTGTGCTGGAAGTCTCATCCTTCTAGGACTCCTGCCTGGGGAGGATGTGTACTAAAAGTCTTGTCCTCCTAGGCCTCCTGTGTAGGGAGGGTGTGTGCTGGAAGTCATATCCTTCTATGCCTGCTGCCCATGGGAGGGCAAATATATGCTTTGGACTGAACTGAAGAAACTGGAGAAAGAAAGAAAGAAAGAAAGAAAGAAAGAAAGAAAGAAAGAAAGAAAGAAAGAAAGAAAGAAAGAAAGAAAGAAAGAAAGAAAGAAAGAAAGAAAGAAGAAACTGTGAAGGATCTTCTGGTTTTACCCCATCAGACGTTGTGTTGCCTATGATGACCCAGCCTAGATCCAGGCATTGGGCATATGATGCATCATGTGGTCCATTAATTTGTTGGCGAACCTTGTGCACCCTTAGGATGTATCTGCCAAGTAACAGAAGGATATCAGCATTTTTGCCAAGGGCTGGTATGTGCTCAGCTAGGCCTCTCAAGTGAGAGTGGTGGAAGGCAGCTTCAGGAATAAGAATCTACTCTTTATTCATTGAGATCTGGTTGCACTCAATCAGAGTGGGTGACAACTCTGCCCCCGGATATATCTCAGGCCTTGTCTCAAAATATCACCCTAACCGTCCCCTCCGCTCTTCCCTAGGCCTCTTGCTTTCCAGCTCCCTTGTCCACTCCTCCCATACTCACCTCCAGGACTTCTCTAGAGTCTCTCCCATTCTCTGGAACTCTTTACCCCAACATGTCCGTCTATCTCCCACCTTGACTGCCTTTAGGCATTCCCTAAAGACTCATCTCTTCAGGGAAGCCTATCCCACCTCAACCTACACTCAACCATCACGTTCTCAAACAATTCATTCAGCTCCCTACTCATGTATCACTGACCCCTCCCTTTTAGATTGTAAGCCCTCAGGGGCGGGGCCCTCCTTACCATCTTGTCTTGAATAGTATTGTGATTGTAATGTCTTCCTTATATTGTAAAGTGCTGTGCAAACTGTTGGTGCTATATAAATACTATGTAATAATAATATTTAGTGATTAGGGGTATATAATTATTATTTAGGGATATGATTAGGGGTGTATTAATAACAATTTGTAAATATATTTTTTATATCACCACACACACACACAAATATTGTATTATTGTGTGGCAATCCCATGGTAGAACTGGGGGTTGCAGTCACTGGAAAAGAGCTGTTATTGTACAGGAAAAGAGCTGACTTTGCGGTTCTTCCCAGGATTTTGTTGAAGCTTTGTTTTCTGTTACGGAAGAAATAAAAGCTTCAACAATAACAAAGTCCGCTTGTATTTCAGCAAAACCGAATGTATGACAATCTCACCAACTCTAGTTTGTTGCACATACTCCTTGTATCCCAGTCCCTGGACATTAGGGTTTTTCTTAACCGAGCCACAGTCCACCTCTTGTGGGAATCTTAAACACATCCCTCATGTATCACTGGCTCTCTGTCTCCTTGTCTGTCTCCCAGAGGCCTCCAGCACACACAGCCACCTGGCTCCCCTCTGACTTCTGGGTGGAGTCCTCCTGAATACCTCTGTTCCTCTTCCCAGCTGGAGCCCAGAGCATTAGCCAGCACCCTTTCCATAAGGGCTGTGCACAGGTGTGCAATGATACTAAGCCATGGACCCATTAATGGAGATTTCATCCCTCCCAATTCTCTAAAGGTCCCCACACACCTTACGATAATCGTACGATTCAGGGGGCGTGGCTTGCGATCATCGCAAGTACGATCTGCCTATGCAAGATAGGCAGATGGTACTTTTTTTAAGTACCTTACAACCATCGCAAGACAAAAGTCTTGCGATGGTTGTAAGGTGTGTGCCCAGCCTTAGAAATTTCCAAGTTCCAGGATCCCATGCCAAATCCAGAAATCCTGGGAAGAACCGCATAGTCAGCTCTTTCCCAGTACAAGAACTTACCTCCTGGAACCACTCAGCCCCTCTGGCTGAGATGCCTGGGTGACTGCAACATCCAGTTCTACCATGGGATTGCCACACAATACCACAATATATATATAGATATATATATATACATATATAAATATCTATATATATATTTATTTATTAGAGGTATATTAATACATTGTTCGTAATTAGGGTTGTACTTACAAAATGTTAGTGATCACATTATTGTAAGTGGTTGACAATATATTAATATACGTGAACTATGTGAACTATTTTTCCAACAACGTTGGAAATAAACTACTTTATTTTTGTGCAGATGTCAATAACAGGGCTCTACGCCACGATACCTTTGAGGTCAGAAGGTGCTTCTGCATTACTTTGAACTTCTCTAGACATTTTCCACCCGTTCATATTAAATAAGGAAAGAAAAAAAAAACACCTACAAAGCCCACCCTGAGTTTTCACATAAAGCATGCAGGAAAAGTTAGCACACTGCGTGCTCCCAGACATCAACGTGGGAAAAAAAAAGTTATTTTTTTTTATTGCAAACAGCCCAGGGGGCACTTCTATAATGAGTTTACAAGTGGCCTAAAAAAAAGAGAGAGAGAGGGGCCAATAAAAATGAAACCTGTGAGGGTCATAAAAACCTGTAGACTTATAGCGAGGCATCGGGGGGGTAAAGGAAAAACAGCTTTGCACAGAACCGCCAGTGATTAAACCGGTCCTGTCGTAGAAAGAGAAAAAAGGGTAACCAGATGTCACGGGTGGGTCAGTGAAGACGTGGGGCGATACACGGCACGGCAATATCAATACTGCGCATGGCGCTGATCTTGAGGAAATAATGAACAGATGGAGACGGGGGCACATGTGTTACAAGCTACATTATCATCACTGATCGGGAACTATGAATCATGAATATTAAAAGGCAAGAAAAAAACAAGCAACATGTAAAGCTAGTCCATTGGCTGCTATTTGTTGTCCGGAAACACTGTGGATGAAATCAAAATTCCACTCTGTATAAAATGAATCAGAGTTCAGTCAGAGTCAAGTGATCTGCAATCATTTTGGATGAAAGGGAAGCCCCTCCCTCATGTGGCATTTGGAACCTTGGAACACCTGCACTAAGATTCTGGACAATTAAAAGAATAGAAACAATAAGTCATATAGTGCATAGGGATGAATGTTAATATTTCTGGCAGTTTTTGCATGTTAATTTCTGCCCCATACCTGTATGTGAGCGGCTTTCTTGGTGGCCCCTTTGCATTAACAAATACCAGTTGATGAAGATGCTCTTCATAGTGGACAGGCTTGGCTTTGAGTGGATGTTCAAGTGGATGTTTTAGGACCTTCACAGGTCTACACGAATAAATTACTGATGTATACGTTCTCAAAAAAAAAGACCTATCATTAAACAGCCCTCTTTGAGTTGCAGAGCCGTAACTTTGTGTAGGCTCGGATGAT